TTAAACGCAATGTAAAAAAAAAAAATAATAAAAATGAAAGTGCATCATTCGTTTACATTAATGTTTTTAGGTAATAAATTTTGTTTGGAAATATGATAGCGTAAAAATAATTATTAAAAGAAAGGAAGTGACGAGTGACTTTTCAATTCAACGTTTATTTCAGAATTTCCTGTACGGGGGTTTTTGTATAGAATTGTAATATTATGAAAAATGTTATAAAAACAAGAATACCAGTTGTGACATTGTAGACAAGGTTTGTGTACCACCTCCAAGTACTATCTATTTTTATTTTCTGGATATATTTAGTATTTTTAACATAATTACAATACAAATCTTCTAGATCGATTTCATTGACAATTTTTTCGATAGTAATATTTCGATCCACATAAGGCAAGACTTTACTGTAATACTCTGTTTGAGTATTTTCAAATCGAATAGACTTAATAGAAATTTTACAATTTGTAAATTTAATAATATTATTGCCTTTAATAGGAATGTCTTGTGGATTTTTTCCACAATTGTTAAATAATACTGTTTCATTCAAATTTTTTGTAACTACAACTGTATCTGATAATATTTTAATTTTCTGATAGTGACATTGCATTTGGTTTGTATTAAGTAAATTTGATATACACTTATCTTGAAATGATTGTAAATCTTTTTTCATTATATCCTTTTTATCTACATTTTTAAAAATCCATATTTTGTTTACATGTTATTACTTCATTAATATTAGTATTGAGCTCTAAAAAGTTATTTTTATTAGAAATCTTTTCTACCATTGTTCTAAAACAAGTTTCTTCAGTAAATTTTCGAATAGATAAAACAAAAACAATTGCATTTTTTTTAAAAAGCACACAATTTTTAATAAAAGGTAACATTTCAACTGTAATATTTTGATCTTTGATTTCTTCTTGAGTTATAATATTTTTGGATAAAATTTCTAACTTGCTGGTGAAAATAATTTCTTTGATATCAGATATTTGTTTTGTTAGTAAGTTTATATTTTCATTTATTTCTATTTTAATTATCAAAAATTTTAAGTCTTTATTAATTTAATCTTCATTAATCTAAATTTATCAATTTTATTATTAATTTGATTTTGAACCTGGTCTGAAATTCGTTTATTTATAGACACTTGATCATTTAAATTATTTATTATTTGAGTATTTCTTTTTCAATAAGATCAAAGTGTTCTTGAATTTCTTTTCTATCATTATTATCCATCAAGAAACGTAAACCATTTATTAAACCTCTCTTAGTAACATGATGTGGTATAATACTATTGAAATCTTCTTTTAATTGTTTTAAATTATGAAGTAAAGAATTAGGTATGTCAGTTTGTTCATGCAAACGGATGATGTTAACTTTTATTTTGTTAATGTCTATTTATTCCTCGTATGAGGAAAGGTTAAGTATATGCATTATTCTTTTATAACTATGAATTATTTTTATTTCTGACTTTTGGAAAAGGATATAACCATTACACTTTGGTATCGGGTTTACTTCAATTTCCAACAATGCCAACGTATAAAGTGGTATAATTAAGATAAGTACAAAATTTAAGATACCTAATAAAATTAAATAAAGAATGATTAACGGAAAAAAATTAGAATTAACTTTCAAACATAAGTTTTCTTTTGAATTGATTAGCATAAAGTGGTAAAGATTCTTTATTTATTTTAAAATGATTTTCACTAATTTGGTTACTCTGTTAGGTTTAAGAAAATTAGTAGGTTTTTCCTTTTTCCTTTTAAGGTTAAATTTATTTTTAGAAGTTTCTTTTATTTTAATTAATTTATTGCGAATGGTTTGGTATTGATCCGTTAAGGAAATCAATAGAACTTCGCGCAGTTGAGGAGTGAATTGTCTCATTATAAGTTTTCAGACTTTTAATTATTGAGTCTTTGTCCAAAACGTTGTTTTTTTCGACGATACCCAAAATTCGAAGATGCTCATTCAATGTGTTAAAAAATTTTCGATATCTGCGTTACTGTTCTTAATATTACGAATTGTTAGGTGTTACGAAGTGGATGTCCATACCTTCATTTTTCAGAAAATTTTGAAAGTTCAAACTTGGGAGACCTTTTTCTTGATCAGTTATAATTTATCTTATCGATAAATTTTTAACAGGCTTTTCCCCTGCTATGAAACCACAGGTCCATATGGACTAATTGCAATGGTTGCAAAGGTAAACTAAGCGGATTTCTTTCATATTTGGCTACATTGCAGACATGACAATTATTTATTACCTTCTAAATTTCGATTTTAAATTTAGAATAACAAAATTTTTCTTTTAAATTGAGATAAACATCGTTAATTCCTCTATGATTTGATTTGCAATGCTGCCGCAAAATAATTTCTTGTAGTTCATTTCTATATTTTACATCTTGTAAAAGTTGAGAGGACTTATTTATTCTTCATAATTTATTTTTCTATAAGCGCTTGAGATAAGTATTTTGGAAAATGTTATAATCTTTAAAAATGTTTATGAAAATTTCTTCGCTAAAATTTTTATTTTTAAATATTACCCGTGCTCTACCATACCTTTTAATTTTCAATACATTTTCGGAGCTCCCCTTTTTAATAATAATTTGTGCCTTGTAAAAATTTAGAAATAATTCGGATATTGGGATATACTCCGAATTATCCTCGTCAGCTGAGTAAATAGTTGCTCGAGTAGAAAATGCATCTTCTACATTATTTTCATTTGCATTAATTTCGATGCGCGACAACGCGTCGTCGACATGATTTTCCTTCCCTTGTAAATATTCAATGTCAAAATTGAACTCCTCCAATTTAATCTTCCATCTCTGCAATTTACTGTTAGGTTGCCTTAAATTTTGAAGCCATTGCAGCGGCTGTCATATAGGCGGAACAAACTATAGAAAGCAATTCCTTTTCAATGGTTGAATACTTGGTCTCATGTTCATTAAGGGTGCGAGATGTGAACTAGCATTACTAGCAAATTGGGTCTGTAGTAATTAAAAGTTTTAAATTATTGAAAGTTTCCTTATATTCAAATTTGTCAATATTGCGAAATCTTTTATAGAAAATTTTCTATAGTAACCCACTAATCCGAGAAAACTTTTTATTTGTTTGGTTGTCTTTAGAATTGGAAATTTGTTAATTGCTTATCAAGTTATATTTTTAAATTAGCGTCTTGAAGTCTTTTTACAATTTTCTGTAAATAATCGAAATGTTCTTCCTTACTAGTGCTAAAAATAAATATATCATCTAGGTAAACATAGCATTGTTTACCTATAAAATCCTTCAAAATAGAGTTCATAAGCCTCTAAAAAGTCGCAGGGACATTTTTAAAACTGAATGGCATTCTTACAAATTCGTAATGTCCACCATTCGTACTAAATGCGGTATTTTTTATGTCCTCTTTTTCTATTTCTATTTGATGGCATCCCTTAGCTAAATCAAGGGTTGTAAAGTATATGGAACGACCTAATTTATCTAAGATGTCGTCTACATTAGGTATAGCAAACCTGTCCCAACCCATATTGGAGCCGAATACGCGAATCACTTTGTCTAACTATACCCCGCTGTAACATCTCATCAATTCGTTTATACACCTCTTGACGATTTACTTCAGGGTAACGGTAAATAGGAATTTCATTTACCCTATTTATTCTGTGTTTTATTTCGTGAGTGAAGTGTAAACCATCATCTTCCTGATAAAAGGCTTTACCAAATCTCTTCAAAATTCATAAGAGTTCGTTCACTAATGGGCACATGAACACGGTAATCACCCTCTTCAATTACCCTGAAGTAAAGTGGGATTTCATTTCCAGTTCCTAACCTTAACACCTTTTTTTGAAGTCAATCTGTGATTGTAGAGGCAAAAGTTTGTTATTCCCTATTAACCCGTCAAATCTGTCATGGAAATCGAATTCTAGGAATTCCATTTTGTGTACTGAGTCAAATTCGAGAAAACTGTCTATTATAACTTTTATGCTCATAGAAGCACCAGTATCAATCATGAATCTTAAAGGCCTAGGTTTTGATTGAATTTTTATATAGGATAAGTTTGGTTGGCCCCTGATACTGAGGCAAGTATTTGAAAATTTTCTAAACAACCCGAATCTTTTATTTCTAAATTATTTGCCCTCTGAATTATCAACGGTGATGAATCTACATCTATCGGAATACTACATTATTTCTAGAATTATTATTGTAGTCTTTGTAATTAAAATTACGGTTAGCAGAACCGCCATAATTATGATTGTTATTTGGGAAATAATTTGCACGGTTATTATTATAATATGAATTATTTCCACCATTATTATCAAAATTAAAATTTCTTTGATTATCAGGGTAATTTAATTTTATTCTATAATTATTTACGGGCTTAGTATTATTAGGATTAGTATTATAATTTTTACTACTCTGGTTAGTATTATTAGTATTATAACTTTTGTTATTGTTGTCAATATTGTTAGTATTACTGTAGGAATAATGATCTGTTATTTTTGAAAAAATTTTTATTATTATTTGGGTTTTTATTAGTGTTAAAATTATACGGATTGAAATCCGCATAATTGCCTTCATACAGGACTCAATAGAATCTTCTAGTGAGGTTGGGTTACGACTAAAAATTATTTGACGCAATTCAGGTAATTTTTCCTTAAGTATTCGGAACGCGGTTTGGATATTGGTTTGGATAATGGCATCCGCGTTTGGCTCACTTTTATTACATTTACGTAAATTTTTTTTATCTCATTGCAGAGATCAACACTTGATGTTTTAAATTTTACATTTTGCAATCTTCAAAAAGTTGTTTTTCTTTCACCAAAATTGTCTATTAAAATTTTTTTTTTCAAGCCAGTTTACAACGTGATTGTTTTTTTCAATGATCTCCATAGCTCTATTTGTTAACGTAGTTTAAATCCTATTTATTAAAATACCTTGACTATTCTGATAGTACTTTGCTACTAAAGGTATTATGTTTTCAACTAAATCAATAAACTTATATAAATCTTCTGACTTACCGTTGAAGGAGGTACGCTATATACCTCATTCGGCCTAATGTTAGGGTCAGCTCCGGGTGCTTGGTCTCGAACGTGTGGGTGCAATCACTGTGCTCTTGCTGGTAGTGGTAGCGTTGTTGATTTCCGTCGGTTGATCAAATTTAGATGGCGCCAACATGCTTACAATGTTTCTTGGTGTTTTCATATTAAAATTTTTCTTTTTTTTCCTTTTTAGCACTTTTCCAAAAAAATTTTGAAAAAAAGTGCGTATTAGTTTCACTCTGTCTGTCCGTCCGTCCGTCCGTCATAGAAAGCTGAAATTTTGTACGTATATAGATCTTTACTAGAAACTTATTTCCGTAGAACAAAATTTTGACCTATCTCCCTCCCTCTAGAAGTAATACCCCCCAAAACCCTAAAAATGGCCTTTTTTAACTATTTATTGCAATGAATCCATAAGCATTTTTGAAATTTTGCAAACGCAGAAAGGCAGCCCCTTGCTTCCACTAGTGCGGTATACTATAGTTAAACTTTAGAACAACAAAATGACCCTTCAAATTAACCGTTATGCAAAGTCCTTTTTTCCAAATTTTTGGTGTCGTTTTTCTTCTACACCCCAGCTTGTAGAACCTTGAAATTTTAGGAGCTTTTAGACATTAACAAATAGTTTATTTCGTTAGAAGAATTTTTTTCCATCTCCACCCCCTCTCAAGTTATCACCTCTTGAAATTTGTAAAATTTGAATTTTTAACACCTTATATTTCCGAAACCGCAAGCTTTTTCAAATTTCTATAAACACAAAAAGCTAACTGTAAATTCAATGACATTAAAAAATATAATTATTTTTCTTAACTCACACAATTAACCCTTAAAATCGAGCATTATGTTAACCCCACTTTGTATTAATTATTGCTTTATTTCAAAGACTGAATAGATCGTTCATCCTAAATATATGCAATCCTAGAAATAGTTTTGTATATGAATGAAAATAATTTTAATAGTGTGATAGGTATACATGTACTTAAAGCTTATATTTTCACTAATATTGTTCAAGGGAAAAGTGCTAATATTGTTCAAGGGAAACCATTGGTTTGACCCAAATTTATTTTTTTTGTTATTATTACTCTTTCGTTATAACTTTTATTGTTAAAATTTTTTCTGTTTATTATTAAGGTTTTTTTTATAATTACGGTACCATTGGTTTACTAGTTTTATTATTTATTAAATTTCCGTTTTATTTTATTTACTTAACATTTTTTCCATTTTAGAGTCACAGTATTTTAGTATTCTTTTTTATTTAATAGAACTTTAACAAAATTTTTTTTTGGCTTATAATAATTATTATTATATTTTCCTTTTTATTAGTATTAAAGTGTCAGTAATAAAGATGTTAAATTTTTTTTTTTAATTTTTTTAGTTTTTTATTTTTATTTTTAAGCATGTAGTTATATCATTATACTTTTAAGTTCACTTTTGTTTTTTTTGTGAAAAGAAATAACCTTTTATTATTCAGCTTTTTATTTCATTCTTTAACACCTTTTTTTCATATCCTACCTAATCTGTGCCAATAACGTACAAAAGCGTTGCACAAAAAAAATAACGAATAAAAAAAAATAAAACGGTTTTAATTTCTTTTATTCGATCAAACTGATTGTTTTATTGGCAGCAAGTAAACTGAATTTATTTAATTTTATAAAAATTCAAAACGTTCTTTGAATTACAAAGATTTCAAAAAATTATACAAAAAATATTTTTCTTAATTTAGAACAAATTACAAAATTATTGTTAAATTAAGTTATCTTTAAAATACTTTACACTTATAATAATTTCAAAACATTTAAAATACTCAATATGCAAACCAAACGTTAATCATTACTCATTGTGTTATATTAGGTTTAAATGCAATGTAAACAAAAAAACAATAATAAAAATGAAATGCGATTTGAAGTGGATCTTTCGTTTACATTAATGTTTTTAGGTAATAAATTTTGTTTGGAAATATGATAGCGTAAAAAAAAATTATTACAAGAAAAAAAAAAAATAATAAAAAGAAAGAAAGTGACGATTGACCTTGTTACTTAATTTTTAGTGGGTAATATAAAAGAACGATATTTGTATTATTAGAATTATTAGGAGTTTCCGTATTATGAGTGGATGGAGATGTAACTATAATTTTGAACAAATGCTACATGGATTAGTGGTTCAACTAAAACGATTATTGATCATTTTACAACGGATTCAATGACAAACAAATACAATTTCGAAACATACAACGCTGCTTCACCTGACCACGAAATGTTTTTGATTAACATGAATCCAAAACCAATTTTGAAAAATGATATTACACAAAAACAATTCTTGACTACGATAGCATAAAGTTAGACATTTTCTGATCTATATTACATATCTTATGACGATTTTATAATTTCATTACCGACTTACAAAATTTAATAAGATGCAATAAAAAAATTATTTTGACTAAAACAAACCAATTAAAAGAAAGAACATGGATGACCAACGAAATATTAACAAAAATAAAAATAAAGGGTTCGCACTATAGCTACGCCCGTAAGTTTCCGCATGATGAACGTATGTTGAAACTTTACAAAACGTCTAAGAATAAGGTAAATCAATTAAATATACAAGCGAAAAAGAATTCTTCTCTAAAAGCATCTCAATGGAAGTTTCAAAAAGCAGAAATTTATGGAATTATTATAATAAAATAATTTGCAATCCAGATATTAATCAAAGCGCTAATACCATAATTAAAAAACTAGAAATTGATAATAGTTCGGTTTGTAATGAACATAAAATGGCCCAAAAGGTGAATTCATTCTTTATAAACGCTACGGATTGTATCAATATCGCAATGCTACCTAGGTAGATACTAATTACCTAAATAGTCCCAATTTCAGGAGAACAATATTCAATGATTTTCGTTTGAATCGAACAAGCATGGACGAGATCCAGGAGGTTATTATTGAATTGAGATCACCCGCAGCGACAGGTTATCAAAAGAACTTTTACCTCTTTTAGCAAAAATAATAAATGACTCAATAAATACCTTTAATTTTCTACAATCCTTGAAAACTGCAATAGTACACGAGTACACAAACGCGGCTCAACTACAAACCTATCGAGTTTCCGACCTCTATCAGTAATGAATGTGTTTTCAAAAATTTTTGAAAAGATAATAAAGCGTCGTATGACACACTTTTCATTAAGCAATGGCATCTTACACAACGAGGAATATGGGTTTGAAAATAATTTGAACTGCAGCGTGTTTAAGTTTAACAAATTTTCTGCTAAACAGCTTAGACAAAACAGATTTACAAAAAGCCTTCGATTGTGTTGATCATGACATATTACTAATGAAATTAAAAAATTTTCGATTTTCAAATAATGACATAAACTTGTTTAAAAAATCATACCTGTTTGACAGAACGCAACAACTAAAACTGGGCCGCTCTTTGAGCGACTCCTTGTAATTAAAAAGGGGTGTTCCCCAGGGGTCTATCATTGGTCCAGACTTATCTAAAATTTATTTGGATTTTAAGATTCAATCTAGTGATGACTAGATTGAAGTTTTAAGGGTGAGATACAATTATTTGCTGATGATGCGGTCTTGAAATTTTCAGCGGAAACGGAAATCGAACTTAGGGCTGCTACTAAACATGATTTCCACTTAATAGAGTATCTTCTCCTTAATTACAAGCTTAACTTAAACACAAGTAAAACCAAAATAATGTTGTTTGGACAAAAAACCTATGGCTCCAAAAAATTTTATTATGGAGAACAAGAAATTCAAATTACGAATAAGTTTAATTACATGAGATATATAATAAGTTAAAGTGGAATCATCATGTGCAGCATATTGCAAGTAAGATCTCATCATATGCATTTATGTTGAGTAGATTAAGGAAATATATAACAACAAATGCGCTGCACACAATCTTTTGCTCAATTATATTGTCCAATATCATATACTTAAACTGTATCTGGACTGGTACTACTAAAATAGTTCTGAACCAATTGGATATTGTACATAAAAAAACTATAAAGATAATCCATTTTTATCCACCACAATATCCTACAAGCAGTTTACATTCTGAAAAATTTATTAGTCTAAAAAGTATTTGTAATAGAGAGTTATATCTAACAGCCTTTAAATAATTAATAACAAACTGAAACATAATTTTATTTTAAACAAATCGATAGATAAACATGCGCATAATACTAGAAACAGGTCTAACTATTATCTCACATTGTCTAAAAAAAACAAAATCATCAGGAAAAGGGACCTCCCCCGTCCTATAATATTCTTTACTTACCTCCCTCAGAACATAAAATCCAGTATCGAGAATTTCGGGATTCTGCTCTAAGAATCCTTTCTCGGAGAGACAGACAGAAAAATTTTTTCGAGGTCATCATCTCCCTTGACCAAAAAACATTGGAGCTTCTGAAGCTCCAAAAATATAGAGTGAACTAGTTATTCGGCAACATCATCTTCAAGCGGAAGAAGGAGCCGGCCTATGACGCAAGTCATGTAGCGAAGTTCTGTACGGACTCTAAGGGAGCCAAACCTCTACGGATGATGGGAACACGACCTTAAAGCTGGAAACCTCTACGGATATCGGATCCACGGCCCTAAAAAAGACCCGAACGGTGAGGGAGAACAGAGAGAGAACTCCGGGTTCTGCATGGTCCAATACCAAGAAGCCGTCCAAGATCGCAGCACGGAATCCTATATCAGGATACTTAAAAAGACGAACGGGTCCCTCTTCTGTTTCTCGACGGAAATAGAAATCAATGAGGCTATACAAATTGCGCATGCCTACAGCTAACCGTTGATAAGGGTCAACAACAAAAGGGATGTGCCTTGGTGGAGTTTTGAGCTCGAAAGGCTAAGAGGGATATCCAGAAGGGTGTTTAACATGGCCAAAAATACAGGGGGCTAGGAGTCCTGCCGGGCGAAATTTCTGTTGGGGGTATCGAGAAACTCTCAGCAGCATGTAGGCTGCAGAAACCCTGGAGCCCGTGGTAAAATCACACTTTCCTGGCTCAAGGTCTCTAGGCAATTGTGACTGAGGCCTTACAAGGCCCCAAAAACTATTTTCACCGAAGGGAGGGTAGACTGGGCAATTAAATCGGCCCCTACAAGACTTCCGGTGCCGATGGGGCATAGCCAGCCTTTCTGCAAAGGGCGTTGGGTATTCTTCTGCCACATATTACAAATATGTTCACGGCAAGTCTCGCCTTAAAATACGTTCTGACTATTTGGACGCACGTTAAAGTTGTTTTCATTCCAAAAGCGGATGAAAGTAATTTTAACGTGGCTCCGTGTTAGCTTTAGAAATCAGGAACAAAACATCT